AAAAAAAAAAAAAAAAAAAAAATTTACATTATTTTTTTATTTATTCACTTTTTATTTATTTTTTTTTTTTTTTCCTTTTAAATTAACAATATTTTTTTTATTTATTAATTAAGCACATTTCAACGTATAAAAAAAAAAAAAAAAATTATAATACAATGTTTATCAAATTTAAATATACATGTTTAAAAAAAAAAAAAAAAAAAATATTCTTAAAATATAAGTTAATAAACGGAAAAAAATAAAACAATTTAAAATAAAATTGTACCTTAATAATATATATTTATTTAAAATATAATGCACAAATATGTAGTTTAATTATTGTAAATCTTATGATTTAAAATGTTTTACTTTATTAAAATATGTAAAAATATTAAAATTATCTAAAATGGAAAAAAAAATGTAAAAATTTTAGAGGAATAAATATTTTAAAAAAAATTAAGAAAATTATAATTACTAAAAATCTGTAGACTTTATGTATTAACTAATTAAATTTCTTTGATTTATATCATTTGAAAATTATTTATTTATTTATTTATTTTATTTTATTTTTTTTTTTTTTTGTATATTTTAAATAATAAAAAATAGACAAAAATATAATAAAATCAAATAGGTTTGTATTAAATTTTTTATATCTTATTTTATTTTTTTTTTTTTTTTCATAATATATTAAGACTTATTCTTCCCCTTTTTTAATTATTTCTTTAAGTGCTTTATTGAACATTTTCTACCTTCCTAAATCCTTTAAATATTTCTCCATTTGTTGGTGTATCTAACTCACTAATATCTTTTATATTATTATTCCATTTAATTGATGCTTTATTGGTATGATTTACTATTTTAGTTGAAATATTTAATGAGCTAGGTTGCATTATTACATTACTTTTTACTTTTTTATGTTTCTTTTTTGTTTTTTCATATTCATCTAATTTTTCTTCTTCTGTTACTGTTATATCAGATAAATCTTGATGAAAACGAATTTTTCTTTTTTTTTTAATAACAATTTTTTTACCTTCATTTGTATTTACCTCTTTTCTATATATTACATCATCAATCTTTTTTAAAACTAAAATAAAAAGGAAATAGATAATAAAAGTAATAGTAATCCACAAAAAGAACAAAATAATAAAATAAATTAACTACTGTATTATATAGAGAAAATCATACAAAGCATTATTCATATATACATAAACGTATTAAAATATATTAAATTAAAATGTTAAAAAAATAAAAGAGATATTTACAATGTTCATATAAAATAATACATGTAGAAATTACTAAAGTATATAATATATGTATATACGTAAATATAAATGTAATTTTTACTTTGTTTCTTTTTTTTCTCATCAACTTCACTAATATATTCTCCCTTTTTGAAAACATTATCATTATATGAATATTCTAATGAATTTTTATTTTTTTTTACTTTGTCTATATTTTCAAATTCAGTAAAAGATTCATATAAAGAATTCTTAAAAGGCTCATTTGAACTACTATTACTACTACTATCCGATTCAAAATCACTAAGTTTCACATTTCCTATGTTACAATTAAGTAATAATTTTTTTCTTCTTAATAATTGTCTTTCTCTTTCTAATTCTAACTTTTCTTTATTAGTTAATTCTTTATTAAATTCTTTTCCTTGATAGGTAAATTTTTTAAGAAAAATATCTTCTTCTAATTTTTCCATTTCTTCAGCGTGTTTTAGTTTTATTATATCATTGTCACTATTGTATTCTTCATTATTTATAAATTCATTGAAACTATAAAAAAAAAAAAAAAAAAAAAAAATATAACTTATTTATATAAATATGTATATTTTTTAAACAAGAGTATTATATTTGAATAGTTATATAAAAAATATATTTTAATACATATATATATTTATAAGTTTTAAGTATATACTCTTCACTGATATATTCCTCATCATCTTCTGTTTCATTTTCTTCTATTTTTTGATTCTTTAAAAGCTGTGCTTTTTTTCTTTCTTCAGGATCTTCTATATTTTCATCTTCACTTTCCTCTGCTTCTAATTCAAATATTTCCTTCATTTTATCATTTAGTAATCTTGAAAAAAAAAAAAAAAAAAAAAAAATTAAACAACATGTATATTTAAAAATGTAATCAAAATAAATAATGTAGTATAAAAATCATATAAAAAAAAAAAAAAAAAAAAAAATAGCATAAATGTATATAAAACATAATAATTTCATTAAAAATGTACCTTTTTTTTTCTTCCTTAAATTTTTGCTTTTTAATTAATTCCTCATATATTTGTTTTTTGTCTTCACTTATACTTTCGTTTTCATTATTATTATTTGACTCTTCATTCTTTTTTTTTTCAATGTCATTATTTAAATTATTAGTATTATATTCGTTATTAATTTGTTCATCATCTAGTATTTTTTTCTTTTTTTTTTTTAAAGATATATATTCTAGTTCTTCGTTTTCACTGGTCATATAATCAGATTTATTACTTAATTCTTCTTTTACATCTACATTAATTTTGTTTATATCCTTACTTTTTATATCTATATTTTTATTTATTTTATCCTTACTTAAAAAAGATGTTAATTTCATTTGCTTCGAATCATCAGCAGAACATATTTTTTTTATTTTCTTGGTTAAAATTTCACTTCTTTTTTTAGTACCTGTCTTTTTTATTTCAAAATTATTTGTTCTTATGTTTTCGTCTTTTGTATTTTTTTTTTTATCAGAATCATCTATTATTATAGGTGTTTCTTCATTTTTATATATTTCATTTTTTATATTTTCATTTTTTATATTTTCATTTTTTATATTTTCATTTTTTATATTTTCATTTTTTATATTTTCATTTTTATATATTTCATTTTTTATATTTTCATTTTCACTTGTTTCATTTTTTATATTTTCATTTTTATATATTTCATTTTCACTTGTTTCATTTTTTGTATTTTCGTTTTTGTTCATTTCACAAGTAATGTTTTCAGTTTGATTAGCTTGTTCTGTTTTGGTATTAGAAAATTGAGTATATTCTGATGAATGATCATAATTTAATACATTAGACATATTCCATATTTGAAAATTGTTAAGTTTATTTTGTTCATACCATAAATTTTTATATTCTTCTAATTTCCATGGTTGTGTATTTAACTCAAAATTTATAGGCAAATTTTCATTATTTTTAATAATTTTAATTAACCCATAATTTTCTGCATATATTCTTCTTTTATTATATTCTAACTTTTTATTTATGCTTGGAAATTGTAAGAAAAAATTTATTAATATATTTTTTTCATCAATATTATCAGGTGGTTTTATATATACTAATTGGTTATTATTAGACTTATGAAATTCTTGAATATTCGGATTAGAATATTTAGGACCTTCTCCAAAAAATTGACCAGCTGATTCCAATAAAGAATATATATTAAATGTCTTTTTATCAGCTCTTTCTTTTTTTTTTTTTTCAATTTCTTCTAATGCTTTTTTTTTTCTTTTCATTTCTTCTAGTTCTCTTTTTTTTTTTTCTATTTCTTCTAATTTCCCTTTTTCTATATGTTTTATTTCCTCTAAATTTATTTTTTCTTTTTCCATATCCTTATCTTCATTTTCTTTTTCATCTTTAAACACTATATCTTTTTTTTTTTTAATATATTCATTTATATTTAATGTGTCATTTTTTTTCCCCTTTTTTAATAATTTAAGTTTTTCCCATGGATTACCTACATTTTCATTTTTTTGTTCTTTCTTTTTATTAATATGAGAAAACATCGGATGTAAATTGAAGCCTCTAACATCTGGAGATATACTAGAAGAAATTGAATAAATATTTGGTAAACACTCTTGAACATAATTTATTGATATACATATATTTAAGTAAAAAAATAATTCTCTTCTTTTCATTGGTTCTACTATTTTCATTTCATTTATTTTTTCATTATTTTCTACTATTGAAGATAAATCATATATATTTTTTTTTATATATGATATATATTCTTTTATTAATTTTACTTGCTGATTACATAGTTCAACTAAATAATCAACGATAATTATTTCCTTATTTTGATCAAAAATATGACATGTTAATGAATTATTTTTGTTTTCATTACATACATTACTTTCATTGTCTAAATTTTCTTCTTTATTCATATTATTAACATTGCTATTACTTTCTTTATTTAATTTATTTAAAGTACTGAAACAATCAGTTATACTTTTCTGTCTATTTTTTGTTAAATTATTAAACCATAAAATTTCTAATTTTTTTAAATCTTCGTTCTCTATATGTTCAAAAATTATGTTTTCATTACTTAAAAAAATATCTCTCTTATTTAATGGAACCATCACCTTTAAACACTCATAAATATATTCTTCAATATTATATTCCTTTTTTGAAAAAGATATTTGAATTAATTTTAATTTTAATTTGTCTTCATCAGGATTAGTATCATCCATTAGTTTGGAATTTTTTATTTTTTTTTTTTTTTTTTTTTCTTTTGTTTTTTCAAAATCTTCTTCTAATTCTTGATTATATTCATCTTCGTTACTTTTATCTCCACTTTCACTTTCATTTTCACTTTCAGAATTATCTTTATTTTCATTTTTACCTTCACAATTTTTATCTTTATTGTCATCTTCCTTTACTTCGTATTTATCTTTTTTATCATTTTCTTCATCAAATTCATGCTTCTCATTTACTATTTCACAGTTTTTTAATTTGTTATTTATATCATTCATAACTACATTTTTTTTATCAGATGTATTCTTACTTTTATTATTTTTTACAATAAATTTTTTTTTGTCTATTTTAGATTCTTTATTCCCAATTTCTATTAAATCTTCAGAATCCCCTTTGCTATTTTCATGAAAATTTTTTCTTAACTTTCTTTTTTTTTTTTTTTTTTCTTTTAAATTATATTCTTCATCATTACTTTGGTTTTCATTATCCTTATATTCACAATTTTCAATTTTATTACTATCATATTCATTACTATTACTTTCTTTTTTTTCTTCTTTATTTTCCTCTGGTATATTATCATCTAATAAATTGTTTTCACTTTCATATTTATTATTTATGATATTTTTATTTTCAGTTATTTCAATAAAACTCGAAATCGGTTGATTTTCTATTAATTTTTCATCATTTATTTTATACGAATCATTTTCTTTATCACTGTTACTCTCTTCTGAAAATATCTTTTTCTTTTTTATCTTGTTATTTAAAATATCCATCCTGATTCTACAATTATTTTACAAAATACTATATCATTAATAATTTTTTCTTACATGGGTGTGAATTATAAAGTATCAGTTTTTCAGTCAAACATATATAAAAGATATAGAGGTAAAGCTTAATAAATAACAAAAGTTAAACTAATTAAAAAAATTTATTTTTTTTTTTTTTAAAAAAAAAAAATATATTTTCATAAATTATATCATTAAAAATGATGATGCATTTAAAGTGTAAAATAAAAATAATACATTAAACTGAACATTTTAAATAAAATATAATTTATATATATATATATTAAATTTTCATTTGAAATAAAAAAAATTTATACAATTATTCTCATATTAAAAGACATATGCTTAATTCTATATATTTTAATAAAAAAAAAAAAAAAAGAAGAAATAAACGCACTAATTTTTTTTTTTATTTTTTTTTTATAATTTTTTTTTTTAATATTTTTTATTTTTTTACACTTTTTTTCTCCATATTAAATATTAGTAAAGTGGCTGTCTCAAAAAAAAAAAAAAAAAAAAGTTAAAATATTAATATTAGTCTAAAGTAATTAAAAAACGTTTAAGCTTTAGTATTTTTTTATCATATTTTAGGAAGATTTATGCATTATGAATAACTTCAACGATATGTATTATTCTTATTTGTAATTTTTAATTAAAAAATTTTACTTTCACTATAATAATTAATAAATTAATACAAGTAAATTTCTATTTCATAAATATGAAATGATACCATTCAATTATTTTACGGAAAACTTTTGTGTGAAGTATAAGAAAATGATTTGTAAGCCTTTTTATTTTTTTCATTAATAATTTATTTTATAGTAATATATTAACTTTCTTAAGTGGATATTAATAATTGCCTAATAACATTTTTTTTCATTATTTTTTTTATTTGTAAAAGATGTAAAATAGTAATATATTTTTGGAATATTAAATTATAATTAAATACATAAAATAAAATGAAAAAAAAAGAAAAAGATACAATGGAAAAAACTCCGTATTTTTATTTTGGGATTTCTTTTTAGAGTATAATTAAATAGTATTATTCCCTTTCTAAAACTCTAATAAAAAAATACAATTTTCTTTTTAATTAAAAAAAAATTATAAAAAACTCTTAACAAATTTTTTATTATTTATACTTTTCATTTAGAATAATATAATTTAAACCGTGAAATTATTTCTTTTTTTGTTTTTATCAACTACGTTAATTAAATAACATAAATAGAAAATATAAAATATTTTTCAAGATGACAAATCTTTTGAAACTTAAAATAATATTACTAACATAACATTGTGTAACCTTCATTATAAATAAAATTTAAAAGATTTTATTTAATGAAATGTTACTTTCAAATTTTAATACATTTTTTAAAGAAATAAAACTTAAACTTATAAAAAAAAAGTAGCTTTTTTTTTTTTTTTTTTTTTTTTAAATTGCTAAATATGAAAAATTAAATATGAAAATTAAATAAAAATATTATATGGATATAAAATAAATGTAGTATTTTTCAGAAATATGCAGATAAAATATAATTAAGAATTAATTCTATACATATATAAAAATTTTTTAAATATTAATATACTTATATACATATACTTCCACTTATTTTTTTATAAACATTTTATAAGAAATGAGACCTTTTTAAAAAACACAAATAATAACTTTTTTATATAGGAAATTTTTTATTTGAGTAAATATAAGATTTAGGTAATAAAAAGCTCATTTAAACAATGAAAAAAACAAGAGTGCTGGAAATATTAACAATATTTTATATATTTATATTTATAAAAAATGGAAATAAAATTTTTATAAGATCAAATTCTTTTTCAAAAATTCATAGATACAAATATCTTATGGGCTATGGAAACAAATATTCAAATTTTATGATAAAGACAAGTTGTTCTACAAAAGATAAGGTTAATACACATGAAAATCCTTTAAATTACCATAAAAAAAAAAAGTATATATTGAAAGAAAACAAAAATGTTACAAGACATTTATTTACAATACAACCAGATAAAACTTTTAGTAGTGGTGGATTGAAACCATCAAAAAGTGTTTTAAAACATATAAAAAAGAAATACAAGTTAGGAAATTCTAATTATAGAATCCAAAAGGAATTAAATAATTTTTTAAAAAATCCTCCCATTAATTGCACTATAGATGTACACCCAAATAATATTAGGGTTTGGATTGTACAATATGTGGGATTGGAAAATACTATATATGCTAATGAAGTCTATAAAATAAAAATTATTTTTTCAGATGATTATCCACTGAAGCCACCTACTGTGTATTTTCTTCAAAAACCACCAAAACATACTCATGTATATTCAAATGGGGATATATGTTTAAGTTTATTGGGTGATGATTATAATCCTAGTTTATCCATTTCTGGTTTAATTTTATCAATTATATCTATGTTATCTTCAGCAAAAGAAAAAAAATTACCAATTGATAATTATACACATGCAGATGCAAAACCTGGAAGCAGTCAAAATAATTTCCTTTATCATGATGACAAATGCTGAATTTAATTGTACATTATTTTTATATTAATAATTATTAATTATTTTTTATATTTAAAATATTTTCATTTATATAATTTTATTTATACATTATTTCTTTAAATTGTATGTATATTTATCAAAAATGGTACGCTTTTATATTTTACACACACAAATTTGTTCTCTTTCTATTTAAGTGCTATTCTTTTTTTTTTTGTTTTTTCAATGGTTGTTTATGAGAATAATAATATTTTATTATTTATTCTTTTTGCTTATTATTTAATTTGATAATTTTATATTTTTGAATGTAAATGATGCATTTGTTTGAAAATTGTTTATTCTCTCATATTTTTTTACTTTTACTGATATATATATATATTTATTAAAATTTTGTGGGTTTATAACCTTTTTTATCACTAATTAAAACATTTTAATTTTCTATTTTACATTACATATAGAATTTAATAACTATATTTGTTTATTACATCTTTTTTTTTTTTTTTATTTTTACTTCTTTTTCTTATTAAAAAATCACATTTTGTTGATGGTAAATTTTATTTTTTAATCTCGTCCAACAACTTTTAAAAATTTCTTAAAAAATTTTTTCGAACATAAAACGACCCAAATTAAATAGGAGAATTATTTTAACGTCTACAAAAGACAATTTGAAAATTTTGTTAGGTGTGCAAAAACGTCTTCCAACATATTTAAAAACTAAAATCTCTTTTTTTTATTTTATTTTTTTTAAATGAATTATTTTATATATGTGTTCATTTTTAATTTGCAAAACTTGCAAAATTATATTTTCAAAAAAAAAAATTGCTGTAAAATGAATCTGATTTATGTTTATTCATGGAACACTTAAAAAAATAAAAAATAAAAAAAGGAAGTAAAAAGGAGAATCAAAAGAAAATATAAAACATATATTTGTTTGTAAATTTTTTTTTTTTTTTAATATATAAACTATTTCCAATGTAAAATAAATACTTCGCACACAAATTACGCACACAACAAAAACCATTTAAAAATATGTTGTAGAAAGTACGAATTAAATTAGAATAAAACATATTTAATAATTATTGATATTCAGAAACGTATATAGAGAATTTTTAGCTTAAATATAACTTTTTTTTTTTTTCTTAAAAAACATTGAATAAGAATTTTTTAATTGAATATCTTACAAATTATTAAAATTACTTTAATTCTTTCATAGAATAGCAATTATTTACTAAAAAATTTTTATTTTAACAGATTAAAATTCACAACTTTTAATGAAATAATTTATTTAAAATGTAAAAATTTTAATTAAATATTTAAGACACATTTTCTTTACAAAAAAGATTTTTTTTTTTTTTTTTTTATAGTTATATAATTTTTTTTAATATATATACACCTGAATTGTTCATATATTTTTATATAAAAAATGTTGTGTTAATATACTTATTAGGTTGTGGAATTTTTTAAATATTTACTAGTAAAATTAACAAAAAACTACTCGCTGTTTTTTTTTTTTTAATATATTTTCTTCTAATAAATAAACGTTCACATATTAAAAATATTTTGAAGTATTACTTTCATTTATTCTAGTGAAGATTTTTTTTTTTTATTATAAAAAAACAAAATTTACATAAACATATATTTATAAATATATAAATATATAATTGTATCTTTTTAATTTTCTTCTACTTATCAATATAAAATTATATATATTTATATAAAAGTATTTGTTTAATATGTAAAAAACAGTTTATTACATATTTTTAAAAAGCTTTTTTCTTCTTTCCTTTTTTTGTAACAATTTTACATAAATTTTTATTTTGGATTTTGTTGCTTTATATTTATTGTTATTAATATTTATCTGTTTATAGGAATGTAATTGCATGCAAGAAATTTTGTAACAACATGTTATAAAGATAACAATTTTTTGTTTTACGATACATTACTATAAAAGAATAGAAAAAAAATTTGTTATTAATTTTTTTATTATTAACGTACATCCATTTTATACGAATACATCTTATATTTTACAAATATATTTTTGTGTGTATATAGGAATTCTAAAAATTTACAATGTTTTTTGAAGAAAATAAAGAAAAATAATATACTTGTTCCATTATATTATTTTTTTTTTATTACAGTTATTAATTATTTATAACATTATAATTTTCTATATAAACAATTTATCTGATAAAAAAAAAAAAAAAATAAACATATATATATTTTATATTTTAAAGACATCTTATAATTATTATAAGATCTGTTTAATATTTTTTAACATCCTTTTATAGTTTTATAATTATGACCAAATGAATAAATTAGAAAATAATTTAGATGAAACAAATGATACACTTGTTGAAAGTGGCTGCAGAACATACATTATGGAAGGATATCCCACTGAAAATGGTGAAACACAACCTGAATTAAAGGAGTATTATGTCTATCCTAATGTTGTAGTTCATGATTATGAAAATAATAACAATTCTTTAATGAATTTCGATTGCTCAAAAACCCCATTTAGTTGTCATCCTAAAAATCCTAGAGTATTTATTCGTAGAGTTGATAATAAACGTATATGGGGTAATAAAACTTACAATGTTTTAAATGGTTCATATTATAAAAATGTCAGCCACCCCATATTTCCATCAAGAGATTCTTTTGATAGAAGAAAAATGGAAGAGCATAATTATTCTATGAATGCAAATGAAAGCGGAGGAATTAATGAAAATTATTTATCTAATAAAATTAACGATAAAACATATATGTATGCCACTGATGAATATAATTATCCCATAAATGAACAAGTCTTAAATGATAGTAATATACAAATGGATGTACCTCTTTGTGTCCAAGAAGCAAGCCAAAGTGACAATGGATATAATATTGTTTTACCAATAAACCCAATAAATCAGGTAAAATTATTTTTTGAAAAAATATTACTAAAAAGAAAAATAGAAATAATATATAATTACTTTAGAGCATGTGATAATTATAAAAAACATTTTAGTGTTGTATAAATTAAAATATGATATTTATGTAAATAAAAATATATAAAAAATTAAAATTTTCTAACAATTGTATAATATGTAAATAAAATTATTAAGATGAATAAATAACATTAGAATAATTATAAATATAAATACTTTTTAACGTTTCTATAAAAAAAGATATAACAAAATGAATAATTTCTAAGAAATATATGTATATATATATATATTTATATTAAACGACTATTTATATGAATAAAAATAAGTAATTTCTTAAGTTGAAAAATGTTTGGACTTCAAATAATAAAGTTCAGTTTATTGAAATATAATGTTATACCCTTTTTTTTTTTTTTTTTCAGGATGAATATTATTATAATTATTTAAATCCAGAAGTTTTAGATAATAAATGCAATATTAATCCTAGAGCAGTTGCAAATTTTGTTTATATTTTTTTTAAATATATTTACAAAGTATTTAAGCTGGCTTTAGAAAAAATAAAAAGAGACTTCAATACTAAAGAGGTTTATTTTGACTCGGGGATGCTACCATTTCATGATTTGGATATAGCATGTGAAATATGTAGGAGCAAATATGGAGATATATTAATGGAAGCACATAATAAGGATTGCTTAACATATTTTGAAGGGTATGATGAAACTCGTACTGTTTTTACAAAATTATGGGATATATTGAATAATTGGATAGATTCAAGAGATAATAGTAAAATAGAAATAATAAGAGGAAAAAAAAGCATAAATAATGAAGCATATTATCAAATGGAAGATTTTCCAAAAGATAAAAATGGTAAAATTGAATTACCAGAATTTAAACCTGCTGAAAGAAAAAAATCAGTAAAATTTTAAAAATTTATAATACTTAGAAAATAAAAAAAATAATGATAAATATCATTTCTCAAATTATTAATTCAAAAAAATTTCTTCAATTATAAATTAATAATTATTTGTAATTAGGAATATATATATAACAAAGAGATATCCATTTATATATTTTATTAACATTTTAAATGAAAAGAAATTAATACATGTGTTAACATCAAATATAATGCGTTAACTTGTTACTCTTATATTTTAAAACAAAAAAAAAAAATATATTATATACATATATAAGATGTTATTTTTTAGTTCATTATAAACTAAAAGTTAATATGGTCTTTTTTTTTTTTTTTTTCAATTTTACTTTTGAAATTATTTTAAAAAATTTAAGGATAATAATTAATCCAAGTGTCATAATCATTTTTTTTTTAAGTAAATTAACATATTGACTTTCTGCTATTTTAACATATCTCTTTAACTATAATATTTATAATAAACTTAAGTTATTTAGTTTTCTTAAAAAAAAAATTTAAATTAATAATAAAATAAAACCTTTAAATTGTACATTATAAAAAGATAGAAATTAGCATGATTCTAAATTAAAAATTAGTAAATGATAAAAGTAATATTTAAAAACAATATGAATATCATAAATATAAAACAATAATTGTTGTATATATATAAATATTGCATAAAAATAAAATAAGTTTAATATATGCATACATAAATTTTTAAATATATAATAAGAAGAAAATGAAAATAAAGCCCCTATTTCTTGAGGGTATTCCTTATTTTTTACGAGGAATGTTCCTGTGGAGCATAATGATTCCAATTATCATTATTTAATTTTGTGGTAGTAGCTTGTGAATCATTTTTTGATTGGTAAACTAGTAATTTTAATTTGAGTTTTTCATTAATTGCATCTATAAAATCATCGGTATACAAATAATCCTTTTCTGTAACATTTTTTATTCCTTTAATACAAGCTGCTAAATCTTTAGACATTAACCCATCTTCAACAGTTTCAATGCATGCTTTTTCAAGGGCATAACAAAATTGTTGTAGCTTTTGGTTATTATCTAATTTGGCTCTTTGTTGAAGTCCTCTAGTCCACGCAAAAATAGAGGCGATTGGATTTGTTGAAGTTTTTTGTCCTTTTTGGTAGCATCTATAATGCTTTGTGACAGTACCATGTGCAGCTTCTGCAACACATGTAACTCCATCGGGACACATTAAGATTGAACTCATTAATCCTAGACTTCCATATCCTTGTGCAACTGCATCTGATTGTATATCACCATCATAATTTTTACATGCCCATACAAATCCTCCTTCCGATTTTAAAACCTGTGCAACCATATCATCAATTAATTTATGTTCATACCATAAATTATGTTGTTCAAATGACTTTCTAAATTTCTCTTCATAAATTTCACTAAATATATCTTTAAATAATCCATCATAAATTTTTAGTATAGTACTTTTTGTGCTCATATAAACAGGCATTTTAAGGTCTAATGCATATTGAAAGCATGATAAGGCAAAGTTCCTTATAGATTCTTCTGTATTATACATACCTAAGCACACACCAGGTGATTTAAAATTAAATATAGTTTCTCTAATAACTCCAGAATTATCGTCTGGAGTAAAAACAATTTCAAATTTTCCTGTTTTATCAATTTTTAGTGATTTCTGTTTATATTGATCAGCATATGCATGTCTTCCTATTATTATAGGTTTCTTCCAATTGGGTATAAGTCTTGGTATATTTTTAATTAGTATTGGTGCTCGAAAAACAGTACCATCTAATATATTTCTTATGGTACCATTTGGACTTTTCCACATTTGCTTTAAATTAAATTCTTTTACTCTTGCTGCATCAGGAGTAATAGTTGCACATTTTATACCAACAGAATGTTTTTTAATTTCCTCTGCTGCTTCCAAAGTTACTTCATCATTTGTTTTATCTCTACTTTGAATTGACAAATCAAAATATTTTATTTTTAAATCTAAATAAGGTAATATTAGTTTATCTTTTATATCCTTCCATATTATTCTAGTCATTTCATCTCCATCCAATTCTACTATAGGATTTGCAACTTTTATCTTTCCACATATATTAAAAGCAGAGTTATTGTGAACATTGTATTTTATTATGTTAAATAAATTATCTTTCAAAACTTTTTTATTCACCATTTTTGGGAAAATTTAAAATTATTAAATTTATAAATTTTTATATAACAAAATTTCTAGATAAAATTTTTTTATTAAAAAGAGATAAGAAATTTATAAAAAATAACGAAAATAAATTTTTTTATTTTAATAAAATTAATATGTAGTAAATAATTAATTTAACAGTTTACTTTTTTTTCAATTGACTTTTTATGAATGAATCCTAAAAGATTATTTTTTCTTTTTTTTTGTAATGTTTTTTTGATATTACTTCTTTTATTTTTTTCTTTAAATATATTATTTCAATTTGATTTTTAAAATATTCCAAAAGTTAACACAAAAAAAAAAAAAAAAAAAAAAAAAGAGATCATAAGTTTGGTTTTCTTTAAGTATTTTTTCTTTTACTTTTCTTAAATATATATATATATATATATTTTTTTTTGATATTTATTTAAAAATTAAATTTTTACATACTATGGCCAATAAAATATTTGCAAAATTATACAATAAATAATACTCTGCATCTATTCAAAATAAAAAATTTTATTCTTTTTTATCAAAAAGAAACATAAAGAAGAAAGCATATTTCTTTTATATATTAGGTATGGTTATTATTTTTGATTTAATTTATTTGTTTTTAATTTGTAACAAAAAAAAAAATTTCAATTATTTTATAATAATAATATAGTTATTTAATTTAAAAAATATACATTATATTTTTTTATCTCTTTAGGACATTTATAAAAATAAAACAATTTTTATATAAATAGAAAGAAAAATATTCGGAAAAATGTGGATAAAATAATTAATAAAAAAAAAAAAATTTTAATTTTATGAAGTTCTTTTTTACTAAAAGAACTAAACGATGTGATTCTTATTGAAATTTTAATGTAAATTTACTAAAATTTGATATAAAATTATTTTTAATATAAAATGTGCTTAATTCAAACAAAAATATATAGTAAATAATGATTTAATTATAATAAGAGCTATACAAACTTTTTTTTTTTTTTTCATCCAAGAAATTATGCATATATTCGTTAATATGAATTTTTTCTATAAAATAAAAAAAAAGATTAAGTTTTTATTTTATTTTTTTTTTTTTTTTTTCTCTTTAAATGTATCTATATTTTTTTTTTTATAAAAATTAATAATTTTTTGATTATATATAGAATAAAATTTTTTTAAAGTGATAATCTTGTTAATTTATGAAAGAAAATATTCACATTATTTCTATGCATAAGCATATTATTTTGAGAGTAGAATAAAATAAAATTAAATATTTTCTCTTTATCATATATATATAAAAATATATATTTTATCAGTTTTTTTTTTTTTAAATATAATAGAAAATAATTCATCCATAAGAGTATATATTATTCGCATGTTCTATATATTTTATTCAACAAATATTCAATCAATGCATATGCATATTTCAGGAATTATGCATATTTATTTGTTTATATATTTTTTATTTTCCTTTTTCCTCAATAGTTTTATAAAATCATATATATATATACGTGAATAGTCTTACGTTAATATATTGGACAAAGGCTTTATATATATTTATTATTTTTATTTTGTATCATATTTTTTTTTCTTTTTTTTATTATTTTTTTTATATACTTTTTTATAAGATTTTATCTAGCTTTATATATATCTTTTACTATAATACATATATGATTCATTATTATTATCGTTAAAAATATAAAATAAAAATAAAAATAAAAAAATTGGTTTATAAAATATGAAATATGACTTGAAATATTAAGTATTCATTGTTTAAAAATATATATATTCTTATTTTTTTTTTTTCATATATTTTTTTTTTAAATTTTTTCTTACATTTAAAAAAAAAAAAAAAAAAAAAAAGACATCAAAATGGAGACTTTTGAATTAAATAAAATGATTAAAGAAAATGATGATTTAAATAAATGTTATGATTTTAACAAAAATGAAAATAATTCTTATAAATCATTAAATATGTTACATAGAAATATGTACAATACTAGTGGTGTGCATCATTTTAATAATAATCTTAATAAAGACATTGCAAATATTCAAAATGAAGTTAAAAAAAAGTACAACTTAAAAAAGGATGTAATCTTAACTTCAGATGATGATGTTGACGAAGAAAATTCTAGTTGCACAGAATGCTTGTCAGATGAAGATAATTCTTATTATTCATTGAATGAAGGGTATAAAACTAACTATATAATGGAATCCTTGTTTGATAAAAATGCATTTGTTTATTTTATGGTTCCATTCAACAAATATAATTATACTAATTATTACACTAACTGGAACAAAATAAGTTTTAGAATATATGCTTCATTGAATTCAGTAACTGAAAAGAAATTTAAAAAAAGAAAAACAGATAATACGAATAATAATTTTAATAATCCACTAATATCAATTTTGAATAATTTTTTGTATTTTTTATTATTAAGTGAATTTCTAAGTTTTAATGAAATATTTAAATTAATGCCTTTATGTAAGTCTTCTTACAAAATTTTCAATAAATTTTTTTATATTAATGTTAATATTAATCCTTTTAAGCAAAATATTAAAGATATTATCAATTTTCTAAAAGAAAATAAAGAATATCAATTTAATATTTTAAAAAAAAAAAATTACGTAATCAAAAATAAAGATAATTTTTATGACGAGAACGAAATATTAAATGATAATAAAACGGATACTAACGATGGTGTTGAATTATATGAAAATAGTAACTGTGGTAATAAAGAAACAGAATCACTGAATAAAAGAAATACCAGCTTAAATGTATTTTATGATAATAATAATATAATAAATAATAGTAAAGATGTTTTAAATAATGATAAAGTAGAAAAAAATACTCAATATTATAAAGAATGTAACTCAGGAGAAAATATAAATTATGTGAAGAAAAATTCATCTAACAAAGTTTTTTTTACTAACAACATTATAAATATGAGACATTTATTTTGTTTATATGAATTTATGAGAGTTTATTTAAGTAAATACAATAGAGAAAAAGTTTATTATTGTATTTCTGATCAAAAGTTTAAGTATGATATAAATAAAGCCAATATTTTTTTTAAAGATATATTTCCATATGGTAATAAAATATCTTCTTTTGAATATAAAGTGAAATTAAAAAAACATATACAGAGAAGATGGAATTTGAAAGGAAATTACTTACATGAAAATTATTTTCATCATAAGTCTAATCAATCAAATGAATTGGGAATATTAAAATTAATTGAAAATGAACAAAGTCAAATATATCCATCTTTTACAACTTTAGTAACATTAGATAAATTTGGTTGTATTAATATGTGGAAAATCAATGATGTAAATTCTCTTATGCCTACCTTCTTATTTAAATCACAGTTATTGATGCAAGATAAAAAAACTATTAATGCAACAGATGCAGTTAATATAAAATCAGATAATTTTTTAATATCAGATAGTTCTTCTTTATATCATTTTTCTTTAGAAAGTAAAAAAAAAAAAAAATAAAATAAAATACAATACGTTTCTTTTTTTTATCTTACATTATTTAAATTAACTTGTGCAATTTTAATGTTTTGAATTTTTTTTTTTTTTTCGTTAAATATATGTATCTACTTTTTTATTATTTACGTAAAACTATTTTAAAATATTATTCATTAAATTCTATATAATGTTTTTCATAATAAGTATATAATATGTGCATATAAAATTATATATTATGTTTTTTTTTTTTTTTTTTTTTTTTTTTTATTTTTTTAGATAAGAGTGAAATTGAATTGAAATCAGTATGCAATTTATCAATACATAATGATATGGAAAAAAATATTAAAAATATGATTATAACTGACAATAATAAATGTTGTATTGGTTTAAATAAGGCAATATGTTATAGGATAGATTTAGAAAGAGGAGAAGTAGAAAATTGTAAAAACTTAAATGAAGATTTACAAAAAATAAATTGCTTTGATACAAATACCAACATTGTTTTAAGCAAAAAACATATATTAATTGATGATAAAAGGTTGCCAAATTATGTTTGTTATGTAAATTATAATTTGATAGATTATGAAAATGACAAAAAATATTATAACAGTGATAATTTTTTTTATGATTGTAATTTAACTGGTATATCATTAACTTCATTGAATTCTAACAACTCTATTTATTTATTCGATTTAAGATATAAATATCCTTCAACTTGCTTATATTATGAAAATGTGGTTACAGAAACATTTAGTTTAACAAAAAGTGATAAGCTTAAATATTTAAATGATTTAAAAACAAATTATAATTCAAGATATTATATAAATAACAAAAAGTATAGTGGTTATCATGATAATATTATTTTATATCCATATTTTACTGATAAAATAGAAAAGACAAATATACTTCAAAAAAATTATGTAAGAAATAAAATATTATCAGATGAATCGTTTATTTATACCATCATAAAAGAAAAAAAAAAAGAATTAGATAATCTTCCTTTTTCATACTTACACATGTGGAGGTGGTGTGATAAAAGACAATTTAAAACGTTCTTTCATTATTATAACAATTTTAATTGTAAGAGAAATTCAGATCAGATAAATTGTTATTATAAAAACTTAATATTTGATTCAATATATAAATTAGATGATGCACCAAATCACCTTTTCATAACTTATGAGAATTCTAATTATATTCATTCATTATTACCACCTTCTTATGGTTTACATATAAAAAGCTCATTAAAAGAAGTTCCTTTTCATATGCATCCAACAAATCTTTAAATAAAATCTCAAGAATTTTTTCCTCTTAGATGTATAAATATATATATATATATATATATATATATATATATATATATATATATATATAATATTACATCTTAAATATCCGTATATTTAAATTAGTTTTACTATAGTATTTGTGTAAGATTTATATCATGTTTATTATTAATATTGTTTAATAAATATTGTTATTTTTATTTATATGTTACATTTAATTTTTAAAATATAAATTTTACATTATTTTTTTGAACTTGAAAAAAAAAAAATAAAAAAAAATTCAAATATAAAAAAAAATATATAGCTGATGCACTTTAATTAAAAAAATATTTCATTATGATATAAATTTACTAATTTATTTACTTTTTATAATTTTTTATATTATTTTTTTATTTTAATAATTAAAATTCATTTTTATATTAGTGTTCTTATTTATCTAATAAAATAAATAAAAAAAAAAAAAAGCAGGTATTCTCTTTTAACAAAAAAAAAAATTATAGATTTTTTTTTTTTTTAAATTATACTATATATATCCCCTTTTTTTTTTTTTTATATAATAAATTTATGTAATAATTTTAATGAAATTATTTTCATTATGAATATTTTTATGTGATTTATAATGATTATAAAAATAATATGAAATATATTTTGAAAATAAAAATGTCGTCATTTTTATAAATCTTTGAATATTTTATTTAAAAACTCTATTTTATACCCAATTTTTTTTAAGACAAAAGTCATATACTAAAAGTTACTTTTATTTTAACAGTGATAAAAGAATTAAATGCTTTTAATTAATGAGTGTATTTCCAATTATTTAAATTAAAATTTATTAAAAATGTTATTAAAAATAAATATAAAAAACAAAGAGAAAATAGTTTATAGCATTTTTTCAATAACTTACTAAAAAATGTCAAAATTAAACAGTTTTTTTTTTTTTTTTTTTTAAATTTAAGGGTGAACATTAAATATATATTTCAAATATATTGTTACCTTTTTATGAAAAAAAATAAAAAGAAAAAAATAGTTAAAAATTAAACTATTTTAATTCTTTAAAAGATCTCCTAAGTAGACAACAAAAAGTAGTAAAAGGTAATCCTTTATTTAAATTATCTACGAAATCTTCAAAGTTATTTATACGGGGTGTTGTATCAACCGCTATATGAAAGTAAAAATATACATAATAACATGTATACATAATAAAATGAAATTAATTTAAAACTAATGAGATATTTTAAAAAAAATGTGACAAACCTTCATAAGATCCATTATTTAATGCTACTGTAGCTCGATATTTTTTATGAGGTTCTGATTCTTGAATATTTGAAAATTCAATCAAAATTTTATCATCTGTATGATTTTAAATTGTTATAAATAAAATATAAAATAATAATACATTAGCAAAATAATATATTAATATATATATATATATATCAATAATAAAATTTTAAGTATAAATTAAATAATTTAAACCTTCAAGAATTATTTCAAAACCTAGAAGATTATATAATGTTTCTAATTTTTTTTTCCATTCATTTTGAATGTAATCTTTATGTAACTTCACAGTCTTATATTCTGTAAATTAATGAAAAATTATTAAAAATTTAAAATATGGGTATATATATAAAAAAAAAAAAAAGAACGATATAACAATAAAAGAAATATTACCTAATTTAGATGAATCAAAATTCTTTAAAATTAAATTAAGTTTGTTATTAATTTCGTCAATTAATTTAGGGTATTCTTCTAATTTTTTTTCTTCTTCCTATACAAAAAAATAAAAAAAAAAAAAAAAAAAAATATAAAATAAAAATAAATAAAAGAATATTATACTAATAATATAACTATATTTTTATTACTAAAACGCTTTCTTTTAGTTCCGCCACTAATACAGTGTTCGCTTCAATTTCTTAAAAATTAAATAAAAAACATACAAATTCAAATACATTTATAAAATACAAGTCATTTTTTTTTTTTTTTTTTGGAATATATAATAAAAAAGAAATAATACCATGATTTATCCTATTTATAGACATTTTTTTTTCTTTAGTTTTATTTTTCATAATTTCTATCTGCTCTTTAGATAAAAAAAAAAAAAAATAAGATAAAATTTGAATAAATTATCAAAAAAATGCAAAATATTTTTAAATTTTACTTTTTTCATTTTCTATATAAGATTTTATCTCATTGTATTGCTTTTCTTGATCTCCCACAATTTGATTTAATTGTTGTTGAAGAGAATTTTTTATTTCATTATTATCTAACATATTCTCCATTTTATATTTTGATTTTCTTTATTTAATTTTATATATATTAGTTTATTTATTTATCAGTTTAATTTATTTGTTTATTATTATTATTTTTTTTTTTTTTTTCTATTTATTTTAATACTTTTCTGTATTATATATTATTTTATATAAAAAAAGATTGAACTGTTTTATTAGATGCTTTATATTTCATTGTAACTATAAAATTTTACAACAAAAAATAATTATATAATAGGTATACAATATATATTTTGCAATTTTGTATTATATTTCTTTTTTTTTAAACTTCATGCATGAGTTTTTGGAAGAAATTAAAATGAAAAATAGAAATAATTTAAATTTATCAAAAAAGGCTTTCTTACATAAAAAAATAAATAAAATTTATTTATTTTGTTTTTATATATAATTCAAAAATTAAAACTTCAAAAAATTTTTAAATTTTGTATTGTTTTTATATTAATAAAAAAAAAGAAAATGTAGCAACATATTGTGTGTATTTCTTCTAATAGATTATTTTGTCCTATATAAATTTAACAATTTAAAAAAAAAAAAAATTCATATATTTACAGCTAAAAACTATAAAACCTTTTATATTTATAAATTCATTGGAAAAATTCAAAAAAAAACTTAAGAGAAATAATCTTATTGTGAAGATAAAAAAAAAAAAAAAAAAAAAAAAATTGAAATATATAATAAAACAAAATAAGAAAATATATAAAAAAAAATAAGAAAATTTTTTAAATTATCAATGATAAATATATATAATAATTTTTACTTAAGCATATTTAATAAAAAAAAAAAAAAAATTAATATATAATATATTGGATAATTAAGAAAAAAAAAAAAAAAAACAGGAAAATAATAAAAATAACAAAAAAAAAAAAAAAAAAAAAACATAATAAAAAGAGAAAATACTAAAAATTTTATTAAGGTACAAAATAAAATAAATAAAAAGACTATATAGAATAAAAATTCATGAAATAAAAAGAATCATAATGATTCTATTTTTTTTTTTTTTTTTCATTTATTAATAATTCTACTATGTTATATATTGTGTAACAAAAAAAAAAAAAAAGAGAAAAAAATAAATTAGTAGAAATAAAAAGTTTTGTTACCTAAAAATTTATTTTAAGTAAAAACATTAAATAATATTAAAAATTTAAAAGATTTTAAATTTTATTTTTAATGGAAGTTTTTGATTCAAACTTTTTTAGTGTGTCTTGGAGTAAATTCACATTTTCATCTATTTTGCAATTTATTAATTTAATATTTTTTTCTGCTAAACTTAATGTATCATCTAATTTTATCTGTTGTTTTTCTAAATCTAAATAGAGAAAAAAAAATGTATAAATATTACATATATAAATAATATATAAACAATTGTAATATTTTTTTTTTACCATCTAATCTTGAAGCAAATGAATGTGCATTATCATGTATTTTTTTTAGTTGATTAAGTCTTGTTAAAATATTAGGAATTATATGATGTGTTTTCTTCCATACATCTAAAATTTTAAATAATTCATCAATGGATTCTTCATAATTTCCTCTTTCTTTTGACATATTTAATACATCTTTTTTAAATTTTTTCAAATTTAAAAATTCTGATTGAAGATTTTGTACTTTTTTTTTTACGTTTTCTAATTTGTTAGAATCTAGTAAACTTAGTTTATTATATAAATCTAAAATTGCATGATTTAGATCATCATATGGAAGCATAGGCATCTTATCAATACCTAAAACTTTCTCGACATCTGAAATTTTTCTCTCTAACATTAATAAATCATTTACATGAACATCTTTTTCTTTGACATTCTTTACAGTATATATATCAAATTCTTTATATAGACTATTATCACTTTTACTTTTATTTTGTTCATCTATATTTTTTAGATTGTCTTTTTTCCAATATTTCAATGTGTCTATGAGATTTTTAATATCTTTAGTATCACCAACATAATTTTTTTCTTCAAATACATTTTCTGTTTTAAAAAGTTTGATTAATTTATCATCATTTAAGATATTATTGATATCATTTTTTAAAGAGAATAATTCCATTAATACCTCTGGCACTTCTCTATTATGTAAAATTTTTTTCATGATTTTTTCATTTTCTTTTAATTCTTCATCATTTAATTTATCATTTTTATATACTGTATCTGCTTCTTCTTTTGTTTTTTCAATATCTTTAATATATGTAGTAATATCTTCAACTTCACATTTTAATTTTTGTAAATAACTTAATGGATCCTCTAAATAACTGGACATATTTTGATTGTATTCATATTTGCTAGAATTGTTATATTTTAATTTAGAAGGATTTACTTCTACTATAACACCATTATCATAACATTTAAAAATTTTATTTTTAAAAAATTCATAAGAATATTTTGAATCATTGCATTCTTCATTTAAAATAGTATTTTTTTTTTCATCATCTAAAGTATTTTTTTTCATTATTTTAGAATCTATATCTAAAAATTCTTTTTTTTTTTGTTCAGAATTATCCGATGTATTCAACATATTAGATAAGTAAGTATTTAAAGGAGATGCATATATATTTGTATTAATTTCATCTAAAAAGTATTTATTCATATTAACAACATCCTTATATAATTCATTTGATTCATTGTAGCAAATAGAATAACTAGAAGTATCTGGTACGTATTCAAAAACATCTTTTTCTTGTGAGGTACAAAATAGGTCACGTGTATCTGGTTTCAGGTTATCTTTTATTAACTTTTTACTCTTTTTTATAAATGTTTCATCCATTTTAGATTCGTTTAAGTCTTCTTCTTCATATGACTTTCTTAAAGTATTTTTTCCCTCCACATTTCCTTTTAAATTTGCATTATACATTATATTTTTATCAATATTGTCATGTGTACTTGAATTAGTATATTTTAGATTTTTTTCACTGTTTAAACTCTTTAAAGAAAAATTCTTTTTTTCATTGGTTTTTACATAACTTATATTCTCTTTTTTTTTAAGATTATAAATAACTCCTTTATTTTCATTTTGTTCTTGTTTTTGTTTTTCATGTTCTTCTTTATTTTGCTGTTCTAATTCTTCCGAATTTTCAAGAATATTTTCATTTTCCTGATTACTTATATTTTCTTCATAACTTCCGTTTTCTTTTACTTTTTCATAAGATTCATGTTCATCTTTTCCCTCAATATATTTATAATTATCTTTGATCACATTTAATTCTGAGTTTTCTTCTTTTTCTTCATTTGATTTCCATGAAATGTTTTTTTTTTCGTTCTCTGAAGTTCCTATTGTATGTTTTACGTATTTGTTATCATCACTATGAGAACTCATTTTATCTTTTATAATTATATAAAGAAAATTGTAAAGAATATATAATTTTCTTAGTTATAATATAGATATTTTAAGAGATTAAGGTTATTTAATTTATGAAGATTTAAAGAATTATTTTTGACTGTTACAACATAAACCAAAAAAAAAAAAAAAATAAAAATAAATGTACACACACTTTTTTGTAAATTTTAAATTACAATTAAGGAGAAATATATTTCTTATATTTTAATAGTGAAACATAAAACAGAACTTCATATCATTTTATTTTTTTTTTTTATTTTTTTTTAAAGGAAAAGGAATATTTGTAAAATGATTAAATTTATTTCTAATATATATATATAATGTTTCATGATATGAACACTTATTGTCCTTATATAAAATGCACTATAATTATGTCAAAATTAAAAAAATACAAAAAAAAAAAAAAAAAAAATTTAACTTAATAAATCATATATATTGTCTTATTATATTTTATATTTACATTTCTTATATATATATATATGCGTATATACCTATCATAATTAAATATACCTTGATATTAAAAGTATAAAAAAAAATGTTTTTTAAGCTTTAAAGGTTTCAATGTATATAACAAGAATATTTCATAAGAAATTTTATAAGTTATATGTTACAAAATTTAATTCTTATTATAATAATATTTCATAAAATTTTTATACTAAATTATAAAAATTTCTTAAATTATGGTTTTTTGCTTTGTATTGAAAAAAAACAATATATATGTGTTAAGCCTTTTTCTTTTTTTTTTTAAAAGAAATATTACTAAATTTTCAATTATTCAAATAAAAAAAAATGTAAAAGAAGAAAAAAAAAAGAAGTAAATATTTTAAGTTAAATTATATTTTCAAATTAACCTTGAAATAAATTTAAATAATTAATAATGAAAAAGAAATTATAATAGACAACATTTTTCTAAATTATTTTTTCACTTGAAAAAATTAAAATATTGTTAGTAGTTAACATAAAAAGGATTATATATAATCTTTATTGATTCTTTTAATAAGAATTTTTATTTTAATATGAAAGATGTTTTAATATAAGAATTATGATCTATAAATGTAAATATAAAAAAAAAAAAAAAAAAAAGGTTTAAATAAATTGTATGCGTAAAACTAAATGTACTAATGTAAATGTTAAAAGAAGAAACAAATTACGAATTATAATTTAAACAGGAAAATTTTTGCTCTAAGCTAATGAAATATAGTAAAATGTTTTTATAAAAAACATAAAAAAATTTCCTTATTTTACTATTATTAACTAGAATATTTATATAAAAATAGTTCAATGAATTAACCTCTTTATAATAAAGATAAAAATATATAGATCCTTTTTAAGATAAAAATAAATATTACATATATTTTTCTTTTTTCTTTTTTAAATAACTATATCATTTTTCATAGTACAAAAAAAAAAAAAAAAAAAAAAAAAAAAAATTTAATGAATAAAAATACAATAATAAATAAAATATAACTCATATATATGTTTTGTGAAAAATATTAAAACATATAAGTAGCAACATATAAACTATATTATTGAAAATAAAAAAGGAGAAAAAACTTATATTTTCAATACATATAGTAATAAATGTGTACTATGTTATAAAAAAAAATTTTTAGTAAAGAAAAACAATATTAAAATTATTTAAAATTTTACAATATATTAACATTTTAAGTTAAAATTAAAAAAAAAAAAAAATTATATTTGTAAAATTTTGCTTTTAATATAAAATTTTCATCTTAATGCACAGTTGTTGAAATGCATTAAAAAAAAAAAAAAAAAAAAATAAATAAATAAAAATAAAAAAAAATAAAATAAATTAATTTTTTATAGCAAATTGTAATTAAAACATAGTGAAAAAAGAAAAAATAAAATAATAAAATTCATTATTTATATTTAATAATTTCCATATTTCGTATTTTATTTTATTTTTTTTTTATTATTTTTTTTTTTGTTTTATATTTTTTTTTATTTGTTTTAAAATTAGATAAAAATTTGGCATTTAACATCATACAAGTGTATGTGTAAAGATACTAGAAGGAAAAAAATATGTGATAAAAAGTATAAATTTTCTTTAATATTTTACGTTTTTTTTTTCATTGAATAAAATATTAAAAAAATAGATTTATGTTAACATATAATAAGAAAAGCAAGGTACATAGGAGAAGGGCAAGATACAATAGAAAATAAAAAAAAAAAAAAAAAAACTGTATGTTTATGAATAAAATAAGAAATATTAGTAATATAAATAAAACAGAAAGATTTTAAATTAAGTTGAAAGAGACTCTTAAAAATAAAAATAAAATTATAAGAAAAAAATGGGTAATGAATAAAAAGCGAAAATATATATTTTTATCTCTCTTACAATTATTAATAAAATATTTTTTAGTTCAATAAAATAAAGATATACAAATATGTATACATACATATACATATATATATATATATATATATATATAATAAAACACAATAATTACAAAGTTTAGGATATAAAATAAATATTTGTTTGAATTTATATATATGAAAAGTGAATATACAATCTATATATCTTAAATGAAATAAAATAATTTCATATATTTATAATAAAATTTTATTTTTGTTAAAAATAATTTAATTTGTATAAATAACATATTATTGTCTTTTTTAATAATTATAAATTTTTTTTTTTTTTTTTATTTTTGTAGTAAGATTCTTAAATTTGATTAAACCTGTTATGTTTTTATTGCCTGAAGTGCAATCTCCAGATAGAAAATTACCATTTAAGGAAAAATTATTATGGACAGCTGTATCACTATTTGTATTTTTAATATGTTGTCAAATACCTTTATATGGAATTGTTACTAGTAAATCAAGTGACCCGTTTTATTGGATGCGTGTGATTTTAGCATCGAATAGGGGAACATTAATGGAGTTAGGTATATCACCAATTGTTACAAGTGGAATGGTTATGCAACTTTTAGCAGGTTCAAAAATTATTGATGTAGATCAAAGTTTAAAGGAAGACAGAACGTTATTTCAAGGAGCACAAAAATTATTAGGATTATTGATAACTTTAGGAGAAGCTATTGCTTATGTTATCAGTGGTATTTACGGTAATATATCCGAAATTGGTACAGGACATGCTATTATTATAATACTCCAATTATTTTTTGCTGGTGTAGTTGTAATTTTATTAGACGAATTATTGCAGAAGGGATATGGATTAGGATCTGGGATTTCTTTGTTTATTGCAACTAATATTTGTGAAACTATTATGTGGAAATCATTTAGTCCAACAACCATCAATACAGACAAAGGAATAGAATTTGAAGGGGCTATTATTTCCTTAATATATTGTTTATTTACCGAATCCAATAAAATATCAGCTTTAAAAAAAGCCTTTTATAGAACACATGCTCCTAACGTCACGAATTTATTGGCAACTATTTTAGTTTTCTTAATAGTTATTTATTTACAAGGTTTTAGAGTAGATTTATCAGTTAAATATCAAAGCGTAAGAGGACAACAAGGAACTTATCCTATTAAATTATTTTATACTAGTAATATTCCAATTATATTACAAACAGCTTTAGTATCTAATTTATATTTTTTTTCACAAATATTATATAAAAGATTTAAAAATAGTATACTAGTAAATTTATTGGGACAGTGGCAAGAAATTGAATCTAGTGGTACTTCTATACCAATTGGAGGAATAGCATACTATATATCTCCTCCAAATTCATTTGCTGATATAACAAATGACCCATTTCATACATTAGTATATATATCTTTTGTGCTTGTTGCTTGTGCATTTTTTTCTAAAACATGGATTGAAGTATCAGGAAGTTCAGCTAAGGATGTAGCAAAGCAATTAAGAGATCAACAAATTGGAATGAGAGGTTTTAGAGATACTCCTACATCATTAACACGAGTATTTAATAGATATATTCCGACAGCAGCTGCATTCGGAGGTATGTGTATTGGTGCTTTAACAATTTTAGCTGATTTTCTTGGTGCTTTAGGAAGTGGTACAGGTATATTGCTAGCTGTCACAATTATATATCAATTTTATGAAATGTTAGTAAAAGAACAAGAAAAAGCAACATCACTATTTTAAAATCAAAACAAAAAAAAACAAAAAATAACAAAATTAGGAATAACAATATTTAAAATTTAATTTTTTATTTTTTTTTAAATGTCAAGATAAGATAAATTATAAAGAATATATATATATATATATATATATATATATATATATATATATATATATATATATATATA